TCAACAACGTTTACCATGGATATTGCTTAAGGTAGTCTTACTGTAATGCTTTCCCTCAAAAGAAATTCTAACATCGGCTAATATCGAAGCAATTCAGTTATTTCCGTAAAGTTATTTTTTCAAAATCTTTGGCATTAGATTATTTACAGTCACTCATTCCTTATCAGTATGTACTAAATTCAGGTTATTGAATACTGAATATTGTGAAAATAACTTTCCGGAAAAAAAACATTTAATTATGACATTGGCCAATGTTAGAAATTTATTTGGCGGGAAAGCATTATAGTACAACTACCTCACAGAAATATTATTAAATCTCAAACACAAAAATTTTGCACAAATTGACTATTTCTACCAATATCCAATATTAAAACAAACAAAAAATCAGGGTATGTCAGGGGAATACAATGGGTAAAATACAATCAAGGGTGTACAGACGCATGGGCAGTGATTAATATATAATGTATTTATATATATATATGCTAACTCAGCCCTACATAAACATGCATTATGCAACATGGAACCAGCACAAGCCAACATGTCATCTCGTTATTGACCTTTTCGAAAACCTAGCTAAACACCGTTTTCCGGTACGTTACCGTTTTAGCTCTGGGGAATTACACAAATGAGGTACATAAAACAGTTACGTGATATTTCTATTTTTTTCTAATATTATTTAAGCGTTTAAGGTGATAAAATTGATGTTTTTGAAAATTATCAATATTCCTTTAATATCTATTGCAATAATTCAAAAAAAAAAAATTATTTATAATGAAAATCAATAAAATTCAAACAGACGTAGTGGAATCCTCCATAATAAATAAAGTTATTTTCTGCGTAAACTTGTATATTTACTTTATTTTTTGTATGGAATTATTCATACAATGATATTTAATTATTTTCTTGTAAAGCAATAACTGTTTTATTTCAATTTAATTTAAAAAAAGGCCGAAAACATCGAGTTCCCTATTACACTCCATTAGGTGAATTCCCCAGAGCTATGTACAGAAAGTACCGGAAAACGGTGTTTAGCTAGGTTTTTGAATTCGTGAATTATATTTTTACTTAAATTTTACTTCAAAACTGTGTTTAAATTACTTTATCAAGTGAATTATGTACTACAATAAGACTTTATTTGTATTTTCGTTAATTGTTTAAAGTGTATAAAACTATAATCAAATATTGTAATAAAATATTTCAATGGTAAAATTTTGTTGTTGTCATAATCTAAGAATTGATTCTCGAACGATCTATCACAAAGAATGTCTCACACATGGACAAACATGCAAAATTTGTCTTTTACAGAATAAAATTTGACAGAATGAAATATTGTGCTGCTATTTAAAGTTGTTTAGCAATGATTTCGTATATGCCCCGCTCTAAAGGAATTATAAAATATATTTCTTTCATACAGATATTTTGGAATTCTTTTTTTTTTTCTTCAAAATTCAAACAATTATTTTATAAACTGCAGGCTGCCGATATATATAGCTTTATACACTTTGACACTAAAGCATAGACTCAATGTATTATCAATTTTTTTTTTCCTATGCATTTCTAAACAAACAACAGCCCTTTAAAATAATGTATGAAAAAAAGCATTTGTAAATAAAAACAAGAGGGCCATGATGGCCCTGAGGTCGCTCACCTGTATATAGCCCCCCCCCCCCCCCCCACACACACACTCATAAGAAGATGTTTCATGCTAAACATCTAAGCTCTAGCTCATTGGGCTTTTTAAAACAAGATTTTTTTAAGTTTTTTTACTATTACACATATACATTATGTAGTTAAAAACAATGACACCCCTGGGGCGGGGCCAGTTTTGACCCCAGGGCTTTTATTTGAACAAACTTTGTAGACACTTACTAGAAGATGGTTCATGCTTAAGATCTAAAACTCTAGCTATTTGGGTTTTTTTCAAAGAAGATTTTAAGTTTTTGCTATACACATATAAGGAAAATCAATGACCCCGGGGCGGGGCCAATTTTGACCCCAGGGCTTTTATTTCAACAAACTTGGTAGACACTCACTAGAAGATGTTTCATGCTTAATATCTAAACTCTAGCTATTTGGGTTTTTTCAAAGAAGATTTTTTAAGTTTTTGCTATACACATATAAGGAAAATCAATGACCCCCTGGGGTGGGCCCAATTTTGACCCCAGGGCTTTTATTTGAACAAACTTGGTAGACACCTATTAAAACATGTTTGATGCTAAATATCTTAGCTCTAGCTCTTTGAGTTCTTTAAAAGAAGATTTTTTAAGTTTTTACTATATGCATATAGGGAAAATCAATGACCCCCTGGGGTGGGCCCAATTTTGACCCCAGGGCTTTTATTTGAACAAACCTGGTAGACAACCATAAGAAGATATTTCATGCTAAACATCTAAGCTCTAGCTCATTGGGCTTTTTAAAAGAAGATTTTTTAAGTTTTTGCTATACACATATAGCTAAAAACAATGACACCCCTGGGGCGGGGCCAGTTTTGACCCCAGGGCTTTTATTTGAACAAACTTTGTAGACACTTACTAGAAGATGTTTCATGCTTAATATCTAAACTCTAGCTATTTGGGTTTTTTCAAAGAAGATTTTAAGTTTTTGCTATACACATATAAGGAAAATCAATGACCCCCGGGGCGGGGCCAATTTTGACCCCAGGGCTTTTATTTGAACAAACTTTGTAGACACTCACTAGAAGATGTTTGATGCTAAATATCTTAGCTCTAGCTCTTTGAGTTCTTTAAAAGAAGATTTTTTAAGTTTTTACTATATGCATATATAAGGAAAATCAATGACCCCCTGGGCGGGGCCAATTTTGACCCAGGGCTTTTATTTGAACAAACTTGGTAGACACTCATTAGAACATGTTTCACATGCTAAATATCTTAGCTGTAGCTCTTTGGGTTCTTTAAAAGAAGATTTTTTAAGTTTTTACTATATGCATATAGGGAAAATCAATGACCCCCTGGGGCGGGGCCAATTTTGACCCCAGGGCTTTTATTTGAACAAACTTGGTAGACACTCACTAGAAGATGTTTCATGCCATATATCTAAGCTCTAGCTCTTAGGGTTTTTTAAAAGAAGATATTAAAAGTTTTTTCTTTCGGTTGCCATGGCAACCAGAGTTCTGCATGGAATTAAATTCTTTGAACAATTTTTAAAGGTGACCACCAAAGGAACATTCCTGTGAAGTTTGGATGAAATTGGCCTAGTGGTTTATGAGGAGATGTCATTCAAAGTAAAAGTTACGGACGACGGACGGACGACGGACGCAGGACGAAAAGCGATCACAAAAGCTCACCCTGTCACTTTGTGACAGGTGAGCTAAAAATGCAAGAAAATAAAATAATCTATGAAAAAATGTTTTGTAAATAATATATGTAACACAAGAGGGCCATGATGGCCCTGAGGTCGCTCACCTGTATATAGGCCCCCCCAACCCCCCCCCCCCCCCCCAAACGTTGCAGGGCCAATTAAACCGAAGGGCTTTTATTTGCACAAACTTGGTAGACGCCCATAAGAAGATGTTTCATGCTAAACATCTAAGCTCTAGCTCATTGGGCTATTTAAAAGAAGATTTTTTTTAAGTTTTTACTATACACATATAGTTAAAAACAATGACACCCCTGGGGCCGGGCTAGTTATGACCCCAGGGTTTTTATTTGAACAAACTTTGTAGACACTTACTAGAATATGTTTCATGCTTAATATCTAAACTCTAGCTATTTGGGTTTTTTCAAAGAAGATTTTAAGTTTTTGCTATACACATATAAGGAAAATCAATGACCCCGGGGCGGGGCCAATTTTGACCCCAGGTCTTTTATTTGAACAAACTTTGTAGACACTCACTAAAAGATGTTTCATGCTTAATATCTTAACTCTAGCTATTTGGGTTTTTTTTCAAAAAAGATTTTTTAAGTTTTTGCTATACACATATAAGGAAAATCAATGACCCCCCGGGGCGGGGTCAATTTTGATCCCAGGGCTTTTATTTGAACAAACTTGGTAGACACTTATTAGAACATGTTTGATGCTAAATATCTTAACCATAGCTCTTTGAGTTCTTTAAAAGAAGATTTTTTAAGTTTTTACTATATGCATATATAGGGAAAATCAATGACCCCCGGGGCGGGGTCAATTTTGACCCCAGGGCTTTTATTTGAACAAACTTGGTAGACACTTATTAGAACATGTTTCATGCTAAATATCTTAGCTCTAACTCTTTTGGTTCTTTAAAAGAAGATTTTTTTAAGTTTTTACTATATGCATATAGGGAAAATCAATGACCCCCTGGGGCGGGGCCAATTTTGACCCCAGGGCTTTTCTTTGAACAAACTTGGTAGACACCTATTAGAACATGTTTGATGCTCAATATCTTAGCCATAGCTCTTTGAGTTCTTTAAAAGAAGATTTTTTAAGTTTTTACTATATGCATATAGGGAAAATCAATGACCCCCCGGGGCGGGGCCAATTTTGACCCCAGGGCTTTTATTTGAACAAACTTGGTAGACACTCACTAGAAGATGTTTCATGCCAAATATCTAAGCTCTAGCTCTTATGGTTTTTTAAAAGAAGATTTTTAAAGTTTTTTCTTTCGGTTGCCATGGTAACCAGAGTTCTGCATGGAATTAAATTCTTTGAACAATTTTTAAAGGTGACCACCAAAGGAACATTCCTGTGAAGTTTGGATGAAATTGGCCTTGTGGTTTATGAGGAGATGTCATTTAAAGTAAAAGTTTACGGACGACGGACGACGGACGCCGGACGAAAAGCGATCACAAAAGCTCAACCTGTCACTTTGTGACAGGTGAGCTAAAAAAGTATCTCCTAAAAAAGAATGAAAATAAGACCAGAAATTAGTCCTACACATTTTTTTCTAACATAATGACATAACAACATTCATGTGGGTCAACACATTAACAAAGATGACGTGTAGCGGGTGCTTTAGGTGCTATACACGGGACATATATACACAGCACTTATGATACGAATCGAACCTTCTGGGCCTTCTACGCCATGTTGATTGCTGCACGTGTCAGTTACCGGGCCGATTGTACATGTCTGTGTACACGAACCTTCCGACTCACCTGGTTTGCCGCGGGTTCTCGTCTCGATCACGCACTTTTCCTCACCAGCCTCCTGAAATTAGGTTGAAATTAGGTCACCTCGGTGCAATAACTGGTTAACTCCTATTGAATTTAGAAGGACTTAATACATTACTGCAATAAGGTGACGATTAGTATGTTATTAAAAATATCTTCCAAGAACGTATTTCAGCAAAATATAAACTTAACGAAACTTGCAAGTACTCAGATTTTTAACTTTTAGTTTGGCAAATTCTATTTTCCCAAACGTATTCCAAATCAGTAACGAAAATGTATATTGGTTCAATCTGTTTGTTTGAATGTTTTTGATGAATAATCAACTAAAAAAAACTTTTTTGATTCAAGCATAGATGACAAAAAAAACCTAACTAAACTGATTCTGAGAAAAGTTATACTCAAATCCTTAAGCTTAACTTACTTATTTTAAGTTTCGTTTAGTTTACATTAATGTACATTGTAAAGAAAAAATCACTCCAGGTATACTGTTATCAAAAAGTTCTTGTGGCACTTAACAAGATATGTTTGTAAAACATGTATGCCAATAAGTCATGTGATCAGGTTATTATGCATGACTTCTGACCCAGTGAACAAACAATTAATAAGGGTTATCTAGTAGCTACTGGTCATGACTAGTCACAAGGTAATAATTATTGTGACCCCATAGGTTGTGTGCAGCAATTTAAGTTATTACAAATCTTGCATAAATTTTATGAATCATGTAGGCCTCATTAATGACAGCCAAGTTGTTATATTACAGAAGACCTTCAAATGTGTAAACCAAAAGCATTTTTAGTTTAACATAAAAATATCAACCAAGGCAACTCGAGTTGTTGAGTTATTGGTCAGAAACCGTCATTAAGTACAAGGTCAATATGACATTGACCCCTTGACCCCAATTCAATAGGGGTCATCTACTGGTCATGACCAATCACCATACCAAGTTTGAAGTTCCTAGGCCTAAGCGTTCTTTAGTTATTGATCAGAAACTGTTTTTACCTACAAGGACAATGTGACCTTTGACCCCTTGACCCCAAAATCAATAGGGGTTATCTGCTGGTCATGACCAATCACCATACCAAGTTTGAAGTTCCTAGGCCTAAGCGTTCTTTAGTTATTGATCGGAAACCGTTTTTACCTACGAGGTCAATGTGACCTTGACCTTTGACCCCTTAACCCCAAAATCAATAGGGGTCATCTGCTGGTCATGACCTATCACCATACCAAGTTTGAAGTTCCTAGGCCTAAGCGTTCTTTAGTTATTGATCGGAAACTGTTTTTACCTACAAGGTCAATGTGACCTTGACCTTTGACCCCTTGACCCCAAAATCATTAGAGGTCATCTGCTGGTCATTAACAATCACCATACCAAGTTTGAAGTTCCTAGGCCTAAGCGTTCTTTAGTTATTGATCGGAAACCGTTTTTACCTACAAGGTCAATGTGACCTTGACCTTTGACCCCTTGACTTCAAAATCGATAGGGGTCATCTGCTGGTCATGACCAATCACCATACCAAGTTTGAAGTTCCTAGGCCTAATCCTTCTTTAGTTATTGATCGGAAACTGTTTTTACCTACAAGGTCAATGTGACCTTTAACTTTGACCCCTTGACCCCAAAATCAATAAGGGTCATCTGCTGGTCATGACCAATCACCATACTAAGTTTGAAGTTCATAGGCCTAATCGTTCTTTAGTTATTAATCGGAAACTGTTTTTACCTACAAGGTCAATGCGACCTTGACCTTTGACCCCAAAATCATTAGAGGTCATCTGCTGGTCATGATCAATCACCATACCAAATTTGAAGTTCCTAATCTTAAGCGTTCTTTAGTTATTGATCGGAAACCGTTTTTACTTACAAGGTCAATGTGACCTTGACCTTTGACCCCTTGACCCCAAAATCAATAGGGGTAATCTACTGGTCATGACCAATCACCATACCAAGTTTAAAGTTCCTAGGCCTAAGCATTCTTTAGTTATCACTCGGAAACCATTTGGTCTACGGACCGACAAATGCAAAGCAATATACCCCCTCTTCTTTGAAGTGGGGGCATAATGATAATTAAATTATTCTTTAAACAAATATTTAAACTATTCAAGCAGTTCCTCAAAAATATTTATTATAATATAAGGAATTATCCCTATAATAAATGAGCTTTAGTATACATTGTATAAAATCTAGTTGTGGTGCAAAAATCAGCCAACTAACACTGTAAACATATCTTTATTAAAAATGCATTGAAAACTAGAGGATGCTTTTGTAAAAAAGCGCATGTCTCCCCCACTGCTGAGAATAACTGTGAATGGAAACAGGAATGGAAATGGAGAAATTGACCAACGGTCACTGTGACCTTGACCTTTGACCTACTGACCCCAAAAACAATAGGGATCATCTGCTCTATAAGACCAATCATCCTATGAAGTTTGAGGGCTGTAGGTCAAAAGGAACTCTAGTTATCATACGGAAACGAGAAATTGACCAACGGTCACTGTGACCTTGACCTTTGAACTACTGACCCCAAAAACAATAGGGATCATCTGCTCAATAAGACCAATCATCCTATGAAGTTTGAGGTCTGTAGGTCTAAAGGAACTCTAGTTATCATCCGGAAACGAGAAATTGACCAACGGTCAGTGTGACCTTGACCTTTGACCTACTGACCCCAAAAACAATAGGGATCATCAGCTCTATAAGACCAATCATCCTATGAAGTTTGAGGGCTGTAGGTCAAAAGGAACTCTAGTTATCATCCGGAAACGAGAAATTGACCAACGGTCACTGTGACCTTGACCTTTGAACTACTGACCCCAAAAACAATAGGGATCATCTGCTCAATAAGACCATTCATCCTATGAAGTTTGAGAGCTGTAGGTCAAAAGGAACTCTAGTTATCGTCCGGAAACAAAGAATGGACGGACGGACTGACGGACGGACGGACTGACGGACGGACAGGGCAAAAACAATATGTCTCCCCCCGAGGTGGGGGAGACATAATAACAGTATATTTATACCCTAAATAAACAAAAAGTAAGTATTTCTAAAAATCATTTTCATTAAAAGAGGATATACATGTATAAGATCAAGAAATACGTCTAGAGGACCTGGATGCCCCACCCACATTTCACTGTCTTGTTAGTCTACTGAGGGACAGCTTGACAAAGGCAAATCTATATACTTGTGGGCATAAAAATTATACTTTTTTTGTAACACAAAAGCATCATTTTGTAGCTTAGTTTGTGCATTAAATGGAAATGCAAAACCCAATTCTTAAAGGGACTCCACTGAGGTTTAAAAGCCTAAAAACATAACATTTGAATTTCTTACATAAATGAGCTGGGACATTTCAACAGAAATATATGCAAATATAGTTAAGAAATATACTTTGAAATAAATTGAAAATCGTATTTTTATGATTTTCTTAGCCCGATTTGAGTGAAAAGCGTCCAAAAGCTTTACAATTTGGGCCTTTTTTTGATATTTGAATCATTATTCTGGAAAAACAGAGTGTGCAAATGATCTGAAATTTTGCACAAAGATTAGTGGTCTAAACCTACATCAAATGGTACATTTATCTGGAAAAAATATTTTCATGTCAAAAAACCTCAGTGGAGTCCCTTTAAAATTTAATACAATGTAAATTTAACTGGATTTTTGTTTTGTTTTATCCTTTCCATTGGTCATTTAGGTGCTACTAGTACTATAATACTATATAGGGTAAAACTTGACGTCTTTATATCAAATTGTGCTTCATTATCATTTACTTTAAACTTTTATCAAGATAATTAACAAGAGTCATCCAGAAGACAGCAGGCTTGACTATTTTGAAAGCTTGACAGAAAAGTGGCATAACTTTGTAACAGGTTGCTCAGAGTTATGCGACTTGTGCCCATCAATAACAGAGAACAGGTGTGTGAAGTTTCAACCTATTCCCTTCAGTGGTTTTAGAGATTCCAACTTGCACGCAAAATGAAACCAAAGTGCGATGTGATGCTCAGGGATGAGAATAATAGCTCTCTCGATTCTTTGAATAGTCAACAAGAACTGCAATACAGAGAGCATCCTTGTCTATTCTCAGTACATGTATTTGACTAGTAAAATCAAGTCACAAAGGGAAATAATTATTGTAAGTAAATAAGACCTAGCCATATTGACAGATCTTGCATGCAATACATTATCCAACATAAAACTACTTCTAACATCAAAACCCAATTGGGTAGAACAACGGAACTACTCTTCTAAAAGTTTTGCTAAAACTGATGAAATACTTGGTTAATAATCCAAAATCTTACCCGTTTTTTGTTGTTGTTTTTCTGGTTTTTTTAGGGTTTTTTTTGTTTATTTTTGCTGGCAATTTTTGCTTTGAACAAAGCATTTAGTAAGAAAAAAATATTTTACTTACTTTAATACTGTCTCTTTCTTTAAGTCTTAAGGGACGCTAACAAATTTTAATGACTTAAAGGCACATTAAGCCTGAGAAATTAATTCATTTTTTTTCTTCTGTAGAAAAATGTGTTTAATAACGCTGCCAGGATGCAATTAGAGAGCATATCAAATGCTTATCACCTGGAGAAAATAGCGCTGTATGTGAAATTATGTTTCATAGAGGTAGTAAAAATGTTAACAAAGTCGTATTCTGACTTCAATTCAAAACACTTTTAAATCACTTTAACTATACAAATTGCCAAAACACAAATGAAGCAACAGATGGTTCAGCTAAATTGCTAAGGGAATTTTTTTTTGGAAACACTACAGTAACAAGGGACCAAAAATAAAAATTGTTCACATTTTTTTTTTTTTTTAATTTTTTAGGCTTATTGGGCCTTTAAATGAATGTTTACTCATCCATTTACAGATGTTGAATCATCTAAGAATAACATGATGTCATATAAAAAATTTTGAATACAAAAAGCATGAATGAGAGAAAAGCAGACGTATTTAATCAAAAGTAGAGAAAAGAACCTAAAGTAGAAAAACTGGGGAGAAAAATGTTACATCACAACATAAAGGAAAGTCACTGGTATACTGGGGAACAAACA